TCCATGTCAATGCCAACAAAGCCCTTCTTCGAGAGAATATTGCTCATTGGGGCTCCAAGTGGTTCTTTGAAAGATCACGACGATTGAAAGAGCACTTCCGTTTAAGATTTTAAACGAGACTCGAAAAAAGGAATCGTTTTCCTCATTGATTTGTCCCTTTTCAAGCTTTTCCTGGGACTGAATTGACATAACAACGTCTCACCGCCTCACCGTGGTGTTTCATCGGGCTGTCTCACTTGAAGCCTGGTTGCGGTTTCTGTGTCCCAAAGGTTGCATGCGCTGATGGCACACCTGCTTGCCATTCGAGCCTCGGCTACACAAGTCTCCCCAGCTTCTTACAAAATCCAACGAAAGAGGAACAACAATTCAATCATACTTTATTACAAGTAGTTCCCGGGCAAGCCGGCGGCGGAAGTTTCCAAAAGAATAAACCTATAGGAAATGGGCATGTGGCAGGCTGATTCGCCGAGCTGCGATGTTCTTTGACAAAACAAGTTGGACCCGATCAATGGAGCGAAAGCGAAGCAACCACCGTCAACTGTCTCACAGGAAAAAACGTTGTTCATGCATTTTGCAAAATACAGAAAAGAGATGACTCAGCCGCGTAGTAAATAAAGTTGTACTACAAAGTCGCCAGTTCTCAGCTTCCAGCTCCACGGCTTGCCCCGCGTACTAGAGTTGTACTACAAAGTCGCCAGTTCTCGTCTTCCAGCTCCCCAGCTACTCCGCGTACTAAAGTTGTACTACAAAGTCGCCAGTTCTCATCTTCCAGCTCCCCGGATACTCCGCGTACTAAAGTTGTACTGCAAAGTCGCCAGTTCTCACCTTCCAGCTCCCCAGATACTCCCCGCACTAAAGTTGTCGTACTGAAAAGTCGCCAGTTCTCAGCTTCCAGCTCCCCAGATACTCCGCGTACTAAAGTTGTACTACAAAGTCATCAAAGTCACCCATTCTCAGCTTCCAGCTCCACAGATTGCTCCGCGTATTGTAGTTGTACTACAAAGTCGCCAGTTCTCATCTCCCAGCTCCCCAGATACTCCGCGTACT